AGTACATAGTACATAGTACATAGTACATAGTACATAGTACATAGTACATAGTACATAGTACAAGTGCTGACTAGAGCAGGAGTGCACGGGCAACCCTCGCATATGAGTCCTTGGGGTAGACCCACTTATGGCTAGAATAGTCGGGCTCATGCGAGTTAAATTACGGCATTGCGCATGATTAATGCATCTAGAAAGTGAGTCCAGAAAAAAATGTGCTGAAGGAAGCCTTCGGCAGAAGACAACAGCCGTTAAGAGCTGCGCTAGGTCTCCCGTCAGAGACGGCTCAATTAATGATGGAATGCACGTCGTGAAATCGAAGTGAGGGTAAGTGCAATAATTGACTTTTAAAAGGCAGCAGCTGGCGCCCAGAGGAGACATGGAGCGTAGCACGTAGGTCTGGTATACATAGCTGACTATAATTGAAGCGATAGCAGCTTCATTTTTTAGCCAGGATGAATCATACAGTACCATAGTTCCACGCAGGCTTCCTCTTCCGTTATGGACTCGAGTGCGGCCGGCTCGATGCCGTTGGCCATCCCGCAGCTTATTAATGCGCTGCGTGTCTTTGGGCTTTAATTGAATTCTCTAAGCGGCTCTCTTTTATCAGCATATCAACGGCGATAAAGCGCACACGCACCCATAAACCTCGATTTCTTGTGCACGGCTCAACGAAATGACCTTAAAATTAAATTGGCGATTTTTATGTTTACGTCCAACATGTGTGCTTGATATTTGCGTACCTAATTGAGTTAGGATCAATTGAAAATACTTAATGGCTGTGCCTATGTCTGTGCTACGATCGCATGGCCCACAGGTAGGACAGCCAAGCCATCCGTCCGTCCGCCCATCCGTTCGTTCGTTCACATTATCATAGGCAAACCGGTCTCCAACCATACAATTCGATAATCCAAATTCAGCTGAGGCTACCCAATGATCCATCGGGCGGTTCGCACGTTCGGACAACTCGACTCGGGTCGACTCGATTCCAGCGAGAACACAGTCCGCATATTAAGCAGGGGCGCTGAGGCTCTACATTGGGTATATCCGAGTTTTAGCTACAGCTCATTATGCTCGTTTTGTAGTATTTTTTGCGAATCTGTTTTCGTATATAAATCTAACGCGTTCAGCTGTGCTATCATCACTTCTTTGGTGGAAACTTAAGTGTCAAGTTTAGCTCCTGCTGTGATCAGTGCGCGTCTACAATCAAACACCGTTCAACATCCACAATTTCGACATATATCAAAGGACTTTTAACACCCGAACACCCAAACATCAGTTTCAGCATGAAGTTCAGTGTTGCGTTTGCTTTGTTGGTGATCGTCGGCTTTGTGGCCAGCGGCGATGCCTTGCCAGCCAGGAAAAGTGAGTTACCGAGAGTGAAAGAGCTGCAAAGAACAGTGCTTAGAAACCTTTGAAAGAAACTAAGACTTCACCGATGATAATTAAATAACTGATTCGTTAATATCGATTAGCATAGACTCCTCCTAAAGTTCCAAAACTTTCAACATCTTCAAGTCATTCTATTCGATACCTTTAAATTAAATGTATTTACATACAGCATGTTTAGATTTTAGAATAATGCTCTCGCCACATCGTATCTTCCATATAAACACATCCATAAAAACAACATCCATTCGCTTGCTTTCTTTGTACACTTTCGCATCCACTGAAGACCGGCAATACCTTATTCCAGGAATGGTATACTACCAGCAGCCCGCAGCCGCCGAATGGTACGGATCAGCTCCCCAGCAGCGGATTATGTACATGCAGTACGTGCAGCCGGGACGCACGCATGCGCGCTCCACTCAGGCAGCCAGCGCCCTTGTGGCTGGTGAAACTGTCGCCACCGGCACATATCTGAAGGGTAAGCTGGCCATCCCTCGCCTAACATCCCTCTCCCGACTAACCCGAGCTTTCCCCGTTTATCTAACAAAGATTGCAATCACGCAGAGTCCGATGTGGCAGTCAGCGCCGATGGCATCAGCGCAGAGAGTGCCCAGGCTGATGATGTGCTGAGCGCTGCCGGCGCCAATGGCGCCAGCTCCGTGGCCGAAGCCTATCCCGAGGAGGCACCTGTGGTCCAGATCGCCATTGATAGCAGCGACAGCAACGACAACGTCAGCAGCGTGAGCAGCGACAGCGTCGAGAAGAGCGACAGCGTCGATGCCGAAGCCCAGCCGGCTGTGGCTGAAAGCGACGATGCCGCCAAGGTGCCCCGTGACTTCAACTTTGCCGCAGAGGAAGCTGCCCCAGCCGTTGAGCAGCCTGCGCCCGAGGCAGCTGTCGCCCAGGTTAACGCTGATGATGATGTGCTGCCCGCTCCAGCTCCCATTGCGCCCGTGGCCCCCGTCGTGCCCGCCAACCGTTATCTGCCCGCCAAGAAGAAGGTGATCGTCGAGCTGGACCAGTCTGCCGAGGATGTTGAGGAAGCTCAGGTGGCCGCCTTCGAAGATGAGGAGGTCGAGAACGCTGTTGCCGATGATGTCGACGAGGATGAGGAGGAGCTGGCCGCGCCCGTGCCCATCAAGCCTGTGGCCAAGTACCCTGCCCGCGTGCCCAACGCCCGCCGACCCGTTGCCAAGAAGCCCGTCCCAGTTGCCGACAAGCCAGTGAAGAAGCCCGCCGCTCCTCTGCCCGCCGGCACCTTCTTCCCAATCAACTTCGGTGGCACCAGCGGAGGCGCCATTGCCATTGCCAACTCCTTCAGCACAGGCGAGGGCGGATCAGCTACCTCGCATGCCATCGCCTACGGCTCCCCTGATGCCGTCCGTGCTCGCGTCCGCCCCAATCCCAGCAAGCGTCGTCACTAATCTGCTGCTGCCATAACTGCCCACATCCTCCATGACTGACGCTCAGCCCCACTGCGACGCCACTTGAATTCTTACCACCAATTCTTGCTAATGCATCGCCTTGTGCAACGATACTTTAACTTGAGTCCGCGCCGAGTCTGTAATCAAAGAATTTTGTAATCATTAGCCAATTGTAAACCTTCTGAGCGCATTTCAATAAAACTTCATTCTGTTAATACAAAATTGTTGTAATACACAGATTTTGATTAGTAGCGGAGACATTTTCGCCACAGGCAATGCATTTCCGATTTATTTCATATATTACTTATTTCCTCTTCTTTTCTATGAATGTATGTATAAAACGAAGATCAAACCTAATTTGGAACCAATGTGAGGGGGGTTAATAAACGATAAATGTTTTATATAAAAATAAGAAAATAATAATGAACAAAATTTCATACAAAAACAGCAGCTATCATTCCGACTTAAGAGCTAATGCTTGTTCCACAATTGCGATATAATGTGTTTAATTAACTTTGCTTATAATTCTGAGGATAATGCACTAAATCTGCGATGCATGCATCTTTAATATGGATTTTGAAGACACTACGTTTAACATCAGGGTTTGCTTCTTCTGCTAACAAGAACCTTTGAAACTGAACCTATATCTCAACGCCACTCAGCTGTTGACTTGGAATTATTTATAACTTTTAGGTATATTACTAAGTTGGAGTGATTTTTAAATAAAACGTAATGATTAACTCCGAAGGGTATTGGCGCTGTCGCTCTATCAGTAACCATATTTGTCTTGCAGTGACGTCATAACATCGTTGGCCAAGTTGCTCAGCCGGCCGGCCACCTTGTGCACGCCCTGGCGTACGCTTTCCTTCACATCGTCCAAATCCGGTGCATTAAAATTCACGCCGGTCGAATAGCCACCGCTGCCTGTAAATGACAAAGTATTTGCACATAAAAGAGACCGAATTTGTGAATTTCAAGCATACACTTACCACGACCGCTCGTGCTACCGCCTGGGGTGCCATCTCCGAAGTAGTCGGAGGAAGATATTGCACGCGAGCCCTGGAAACGATTTAGATTGGCGCTGATATCAGCCGCGGATTGTTCGTTCGCAAAGTACTGATCGGAGCCAAAGCCCTTGGAGTTGCCGAACTTTTGCTGTGCAATGACAGGATCATTTGGGTTAGTGCCTTTGCTTTTGCTCTTGCTGGAAGCTGCTGCAGTACTCCTTGGACTGGGCTTGTCGTAATCACTGCTGGCCGCAAACATGGACGTGATGTTGCTATGCGTTGTTCCAATAGGTTCAATTGTCTCGTAGCCCAACGCATCCAACTCGAATTTGTCCAATTTGCTGGAGCTGTTGGAGCTCTCCTTCTTATCGCCACCGCCGCCGTACAAATTAAGCGAATGGTCATTAAAGAAATTATCATTCTCCAGGGCAGCCAGCTTGCTTTGGGAGCTGACCTTAGGCGCAGCCGACTGCTGAATGGTTTCCATGTCGCTTAAAGCGGAGTGCGCTACGTCAGAGCCCCTCAAGTTAAAGCCCATGCCCAGCCGCTCCATTTGCTTGGCCTTGGCAGGATCGATGCTTTTTAGCTTAGCTTCCTCTCGTGTCTTTTGAAGCGACAGATCTTGATATGCCAACCGCATGCTAGCTACAGTTTCCAACTCCTCCTCTGCGGTTTGTGGCTTTTCAGTGGATCCGGCAAGAGCAGCTGCCGTTTTACTCTCGTTGGCCGCATTGGCGCGCGCCTCAATGTCCGCAAAGTTCGTGGTTACCTTCGTTGCACCCAGCCCTCCGACCTTGCGAGCGCCCAGCTAAAAGCCAAAATTCAGATCGTAAGTGATCCAATTTCCATATGCTTTCACAATTTACTTACTGCTCCCTTCTTCGGCTGTATCTTGCGAACGCCAATGGACGAGGGAACCGCTGAAGGAGCAACGACCGTATTGAGTAGATCGACACTGGGCTCGCCAGTTGCAACGGTAGGTCCAGCAGCAGGCTTAGCGTCCAACTGCAAGGAATAATGGCAGGGATTATTAATCTACTAGTGTTGCTCATTATCAGTACTTAGAAATCAACTTTAACATTAACTTCAAATGTAGCAAGGAACGCGTGTGACTTTGTTGGCTTTACCTTCATGTTGCTGACCGTGGCGCTAACGTTATTATTCTCCAAGTGCGCATTGGCGTTGTTGTTATTGCATTGGGCAAAGAAGTCCTCCTCCTCCTGGTCCTCTCTGCCGGCCTCGTTGCCATCGTTCTTGTCCGCCGCCGGATCCAAATGTAGCTGAACGTGTATTTGTGTGAATGTGCGGGAACAGAGAACATGATACAAGTAAAGCGCAAGCGAGAGCAACACAAGTGAGTAAACAAAGTAATCGAAGCAAATAGGCGAAAGAAAAGAGGACAACGAACTGCTTACCTTGGTGCCGTGAACCTTCATCGCCTGCTGAGCAAGTGCCGCCAGCTTGTCCCGGTAGAGCTGAGCCGCCCTCGAGTTGTATTTAACTTGGGCGTCGCTGCTGGTGCAGTTGTGGGCACGGAAGAACTGAGCAGCGTTCGCATTGCCACCCAGCTGCATTTGCCGCAGCTGCAACCACGTCCAGTTGGTGTCCAGGTTGGTGCTCCTCACAAAGGTCAAGTGCACGCCGAGATTGCGATGCACAGCGGAGCAGTCGATGCATATGAAAATGCCGTACGTGACAGAGGACCATGTAGGTGCCTTCGTGGCACAATCGAAGCATGACTGTATGGAAAACAGATGAAATATTAAATTCAAATTCTGAAAATTACATTGACAGCAAATCCTACCTTATTAGCTGGCAGCGCCCGCAGGCGACTGAATACTGCCTCGATTTCCTGTTTCGTGGGTCCCACTGCATTGTTAGACATGGTATTATTCGTGACTACGCTGCACCAATTCACCTTACTAATTTATTATGGATTGTAAATTGTTTTCGTGGCTGGCTTCGCCTGTGCCTGCGCCTGATGTTTTATTGCTCCGCAATTACAGTCAGCAGTTATGCTTTTTGGCAGTTAAAGCTGAATATGGACTACTTGTTGTACGAAGCTTACAAAGAAACTCTTCAAATTTAGATCAAGTGCATTTAAATACTTTTTTATTTTTGTTTTTGGCCTAGAGTTCAGAATTTTGACGTGTGTTTTTCATTCCAGTCTCTTCCACGTTCACGTTAGAGATGAGCACTTCACACTTACAGAGTTACCAGTGCGAGTCATGATTGAGTGGTAATGTCTTTTAACAGTGGTCGCGAATAAGTCACTGTTGCACAAATATCAATATAAACATTAATATAAATCAATATCACTCATAGCATAGTAAGAAATATTATAATATTAAATTATTAATGTAAAAATAACGATAATTAGTTTCTCATCACTACACTGTTAAAACCTACCACAAATTTTGAAATCTCTAAGATTGTCATATTCGATATACACCTTGATTTATTATCGATAGATACCAATTATATTCTCAGTTGACACTGCTAGACATTATTTGTGTCTTTGTACCTAAAATTTTTAAATTAATATATAAATAAGCAAATGCAAGTTGCTCCCAAAAGCAGCTGTCGATTCCTCACAACTGCCACATTTATTGTTAAATTTCCTGTACTTAAACTGACTTTACATACGAAATAGCTTTATGGACGAATGAAGTCTTCCGGCATGCTGACTTCAAATACAGAACACCTGAATTGTGTTGAGGATCAGCTGATTTTAATGAGCTATTAAATGCTAGAAGTTTTTTTTTTTATTAAGGCAGTTATTGTCTAGTCAAATTTGAGAATTGAGTCCGTGTTTTTGTGTTAAACGCCATAAATCAAATTAGTTTCTACGTCTTTAACAACTTAAAAATGGTGTTAAAACTGCCAATAATAGCTAAAATTCTTGGGTGACCACAGCTACACATATGTAATTCGTAACCTACAAAATGTTTTGTTTACTTTTGCGCCAAACGCGTAATATCCGTAAATTAGTTTTAAAGCAAGTTTTAAATTCACACGTTTATACATTCAGCAATGCGTTGCATACAACAAGACGTAAGTGCTTCGACTCAGCATTGAGAACAGCTGCTGTTGCTACCAGTTTGCGCAGATTATAAAATTATATTCGTCTTGCTTACAGTGCTGCGACACGGCGAATATGAATGGAAAGAGCCCAAATCGCCGGACGAAATGTAAGTAGCTGTCCACGGGAATGCTTGTATTTATGTTATAGTAATATTGTGCCTGTTGTAGCGTCAATATAACATACGTTGACAAGGACGGAAAACGCACCAAGGTGCAGGGAAAGGTGGGCGACAACGTTCTCTACCTTGCGCACCGGTACGGTATTGAGATGGAGGGCGCCTGTGAGGCATCTCTAGCCTGCACAACGTGCCATGTGTACGTGAAAAACGACTATCTCGAAAAGCTGAACGAGGCAGACGAAAAGGAGGATGACCTGCTGGACATGGCGCCCTTTCTGCGAGAGAACTCTCGTCTCGGCTGTCAAATAGTACTCGAAAAGAGCATGGAAGGCATGGAGCTGGAGCTGCCCAAGGCAACACGTAATTTCTACGTCGATGGGCACAAGCCGAAGCCACATTAGATGAAAGTTGTTTATTACCGTTATCGTATATCGAGAGAGTTAAATAAAAGAATATATTGAATAGTTTTCTCGTCCCCAATTTGTATATATTTCGTTAAGTTTGTAAACAATGGATTCTGCTTCGAGTTTTGTTTCATCTGGCAAATTAAACTAAAAATTTTGTAAGTTGAGCCTATATAATTACATTTTCTAATCAGCGTTTCCCATGAAGGAAGTCAGAACAAGAATAGATGAAAGGGAACAGTTTGAATGGGGAAATGTGTAGACATACAAATGGTAGGTAACAATATTGTAATAATTATGTTACAATTAAAATTATATGCGTAATAGTCTAAATGTTTATAGTGACAAACTAAAAATCATTACAACAAATACACGCCAATGCAGCACGAATGCGACAGTGTGTGTGAATGATGCTCGTTGGGTTAACTGTGCATTCAGTTCGAAGAAGGACTGCTGGAAGCGGAGCGTGAATGCACGCTGCCACGCTCCTGGTCACTGCGCTCCTCATCGCGGTCGAGACTCTTCTCATCCTTGTCCAAATCACGCTCTGGCTCGCGCTTACTCTGCTTCTCGGGCGCGGCACCAACATTTTCTTCTTTGGGAGACAGATTCTCACGTTTCACCGCTTCCTTTTCGGCCTTGCCGCCGCCGCCGCCGCCCTTTTTGTTGGTGCTCTTCTTCATGACAGCTATTTCTTTCAAGAGGCTAGCGACTTTTCGATTCAAGTTATCTACTTTCATGTCATGCAGCCGCTCGACCTCCTTCAGTCTGTTGCGCATCTCGTTTTCTTTCTCGAAGTTCTTGCCCTTTAGCTCTGTCAGCTGAAAATTGTAGAAAATTTCGACAATTACAAATATCAAATCAAGTATTTTAATGCTTATCGCCACTTACCTGCTTGTCCTTCTCGAGCAGCTCTTTGTCCTTTTGATTCAAGCGCTTCTCCAGACTGGCGATGCGCTCTTTTAGATATGTAATGGCCACCACGTGATCCGACGAGTTTGTGTCTACTGTGATCGCAGCTGGTGCGGCGATTGTGCCATTGCCGCCATTTCCACGCGATATCTTGTCGGGCAGATCTAGGCCTGCGCCGCTGACGGATGTCACACCACTGGAATTCATGTTGCCAGCTCCTTTGGAAATGTCGCCGCCGCGTGTTGCCTTCTTGGCAGACGCGTGGCTCTCTCTGTGCGCCGTCGATGAGGACTTCTCGTGTGGTCGCTTTTTAGACATGGATATTCGTCCCTCTTGCTGAGCCTTCAGTAGAGCGCGTTTATAGGCGCAGGTACACAGCCAGCAGAGGACTTTGCCATTGACCTGCAAGGAAGCAAACAATTGCACGTTGTTTAATGTTAAACATAATTATGATAACTTAAATATTTAGTCCTACACACTCCTATGAACGCAATACAATATTACTAGACTCTCTTGACTGCCACACGACTGGTGCATCTAGTTGTATCTGTACAATGGAACATGCTTTGAAGAGCAACATACATCGAGTCGACTTAAAACTAAGCTTTTCTTAACATTTTTGTTTGAATAAAGTAAGACTAAAATATATGCAATCCTTGGTGCTGGCTCTGCTGAGCTCTGTTTCTCTCGCTGACCTTTTTGTTCTCGTCGCGCCTGTCAAAGGCTGATCGCAGCTTGCACTCGTCGCACTGTGTGGGCGGTCCATACTTTGCCTCGTAGCTGGCGCATCTATTTGCATTTTGCAGTTAGTTTGATATTTGGTATGGTTAAAGTGTATATCATTTTGTTTGGTACACACACGTGGAGCAGAAAAGAGAAGAGAAAAATGTTTTGCGTTCATAAGAGACGTTGTTTTCGTTTCTAATTTGTTCGACTTGCTACTTGAAGACAAAATAGACTCAAAGGCAGGGCAAACGCGCATTAGTTAATGTACTTTGAAGGCACAATTAGTTGGGTAGAAGTGGGCGAGATATACCAATATAAATATGTTTTATACTGAATGTATATTCATACTCTTCGTAACGTTGGTTGTATGTGATAACTTGAACTTGATACGAGCATTTGCATTCTATACATTGTGCATTCAAATTACAGCGGCTGCCACGTTGCTCGTGATATTTAATTTTTTTTCCAACTCTTAATTGAGACTAGGCATCAGCTTACTAGATGCAATTGAATTTCAACATACCTCATGCATTTGGAGCTGCCAAAGGCAGCGACGATTTTGCAGCACTCGCAGGCGCTGGGCTTGCCATATTTATTCAGATAGTGTTCGCATTTTTTACAGGCACTCTGTGATTTGCTGTAAAAACAAACGAAAACAAATAGCAGAAACATGCAGCATGTATGAATCAGTTCTACTTACGAGGCGGAGGGGAATTCCGAGCGGCAGTAAGTACATTTAACAACTGAGGTAGAACCACGGCAAACCTGCAAAAAGTGGTAAATTTAAGGATCATCGTAAATTACATGAATTGCAAGTAATGGGGCGACGAATCGATTTCGTTTCCATTGCAACTGTCAAATAATGTCAGTATGTAGCAGAAGCCAGACACTGCAGCTTTTCTAGCTTCGATTTTTATGTCACAGGTGTCGCCGCCATCGCTGCTGATGCCGCTGCCGATGATACAGGGTCAAAGCAAGCAGCTCTGCTTCCTCTTGCTGTTTATTTTCACTTTTAATGCGCAGCAAGAATTTTCGCAAGCAAGCAAGCGTCATTTTTATTTTGTTAGTGGCAAAAACAATGGCCCACGTACACATACTATGCTTTTGCCACAATGCGTACACACACATTCGAAAATCTGTTTGTTTGTTGCAATTTGCCTTTACAAATTTTAACTCGATATATATTGGTGTTCACCTTGCATAGCTGCTGGCCCGAGGATAATTCTTCGTATGGGTGCCGCGAAAAGCATTTGGAGCATGCGAATAATACTTTGGAACTCATTTTTAGATTTGTGTTTTATTTTTCTTTGTGCTAGTTTTTCTTTCTTTTTGTACAAATTATTTTTATATGCGCTTAAGACGACGCAAACAGTGTTACCACAAAGATAAAATTAAAATAAATGCTCGTTTCATGAGCATCAAAGTGACCAGCTCGCGCAAAATATATCTATCGATGATCAATTTATCGAATGCAAAGCAACCCTCTAAATACAGCTCAAATCAACTCAGAAAGAGAGAAAGACGCGTCAAAGCAAAATTCAAACAAATCAAAAAAACGTCCAATTCAGGCTGTACCAAATCAAAAATTAAATACAAGTACAAAGAAAAACAATAAGCAAAAAGTGTAACCGAATAGTTTAAAACATGCCTGAACCAACGAATATTAAAGTAATAGTACGAGTGCGCCCATACAATCAGCGGGAAAAGGAACAGAATCAAAGATGCATAATAAAAGTAATGGACGGATCTTCATTGTTGTTCGACCCAGATGAGGAGGACGACGAATTCTTTTACCAAGGTGCCAAACAGCAGTACAGAGACATCTCAAAGCGCACAAACAAAAAACTAACCATGGAATTTGATCGTGTCTATGATACGGATCACACAAACGAAAACTTGTTCCAAGAGTGTACAGCGCCGCTGGTCGATGCAGTGCTCGATGGGTAAGTGTAGAAGTGCGCCTGCTTTCGAAATTTGAATTTGACTGGTAACATGTGTACATCGCAGGTACAATTGCTCGGTGTTTGTCTATGGCGCGACGGGTGCGGGAAAGACGTTCACAATGCTGGGCTGTGAAAACTGCCCTGGGCTCACGTTCCTGACCATGCGCGATCTCTTCGAAAAAATACAGAGTCAAAACGCGACGCGCAAATTTGACGTGGGCGTCAGCTATCTGGAAGTGTACAACGAACAGGTTATGAACCTGCTCACAAAAACAGGTCCTTTAAAATTGCGCGAGGATGCAAATGGCGTGGTCGTAAGCGGATTAGTGCTGAAGCCTATTTACAGCGCAGAGGAGCTGCTGCACATGCTTACTATAGGAAACGCAAACCGTACCCAGCATCCAACAGATGCCAACGCAGAGAGTTCGCGCTCGCACGCCATTTTTCAAGTACACATACGCATCACGGAATTAAGTACTGGCACCAAGCGTAGTGTGAAGCTTTCCATGATTGACTTGGCAGGCAGTGAACGTGCTGCTAGCACCAAGGGCCTTGGTATGCGCTTCAAGGAGGGCGCGAGTATCAACAAGAGCCTCTTGGCGCTGGGCAACTGCATCAATAAGCTGGCCGATGGGCTGAAGCACATACCCTATCGGGACTCAAACTTGACTAGGATCCTAAAAGACTCCCTCGGCGGCAATTGCCGTACTCTGATGATAGCTAATGTGTCCATGAGTTCGCTCACCTATGAAGACACCTACAACACCCTAAAGTACGCCAGTCGCGCCAAGAAGATACGCTCCGTGCTGCGCCAGAACGTGCTCAAATCGAATTTGCCCAAGGAGTTCTACGTAAAGAAGGTCACCGAGCTGATGGCCGAGCAGGAACGTTTGCTGCAGCACAATAAAGCGCTCGAGTCCAAACTTGCACAGCTGGAGCGGTCCGCCAGCAGCAGTAGCAGCTTCGGAGGATTTGACATGCAGGAGCTCAAGCCTTGGTACAGCCGCATCGATGCTGTATACACCTCTGTGATCAAGCTGCAACAGTGCGTCATTGGCCTACGAAGCAAGATTCAGACCCTTAGCTATCGACAAACACTGAAGAAGGATTTTGAGCAGCTGAGGAAAGCTGTGACGCAGGATCAACGGCTAATACAAGAGGTGAGTATCATTAGATATAGCCTACAATTTTTTAGGCTTATATTCGGATAACCTTCAACAGTCTCCACTATTTAACGCTTAAGACTCGCTGTATTTCTGAGAAGCTTAGCTTACGTTTCAATAGGCAGTAACATTTGTAGTGAGGGTACAATAATATTCTAGTTGAGTCCAATATCAGTCTAGAGGTATCAAGTCTCCCCAGTTAGCTCTTTCTGCTTGCTGACGAGCAGCTTGTCCGCCTCGGCAATGTATTTGTCCGCAATGGCCGTGACCTGCGTTTGGGCCGCAAAGACGTCGTCTTTGGCGATGTCTGTCTGCTTCTTGAGCTTGCGGATCTGTGCGTTCTGTATGTCCCGTATGGCGTCGCGGTACTTGATGAACAGCGCTTTCGCATTCTTGGACAGCAGCTCGCGATGCTCCTTGGTCACCTTGGGTATGGGTATGAAGAGGGTTGTGCCGTCTTGCTGAGGATTCAGATTCATGCCGCTCTTCTCAATGGCGCGCAGCACGTCTGGTATGGTCTGTGGGAACGCAATCATATTGACTATTATCGTCTTTGGATTCTTGCGCGATATCTGGGCCAGCTCCTGCAGCTCGTGCTCGGCGCCGTCTACCTTGATGCGCAGTGTGTCGATGGCGCCGCTCGTGGAGCGCAGCGACAGATTCTTAATGAAATCCTCCTTCATTTGCATGACGGACTTTTCCATCTGCGCATTCAGGCTGTCCAGGTTGATCAGTTCACGCAGCTGTTGCTCATTTATCTCAACCTTAGCAGGTTTACCCTTGCCGCCTTTTTCCTTTTTTCTGTCTTTGCCTTTTGCATAACTGCGTGCCTGCTGCAGACCCAGCACAGATGCCGCGCCGTTTTCTGCTAACGGCTGGATCTGCTGCAGTTGTGTTATAGCGCCTATTGTCGGACGAATCGGTGTTAAGCTAATGGTTAACGCTCGCAAAAGCAGTCTCGTCTTGGCGAGCATTTTGTATTATTTAAAATATTACGACTTGCACATCAAATACAATGCAAAGCTGCCAACTTGCCTAAAGCTCAATTCATTCACCTGGCGGCGGTAATGCCAACCTGATTTAAAAAAAGCAATGTATGCTGGTAAAAATATTTGTATCTTTTAGTTTCTGATTTCTAATGCTTTTAATATAGTAATATTAATATTGTTATTTTATTTTTTTTTATTGATTGATATTGACTTATTGATTGATATAAAATTTTTATTTAATTTTTGTTTAATTAGTTTATGAATAAATATGTGTTAATTTTTTATTCTAAGTTTGTGGTCAGTTAATATTGACAGCATATTCAAATAAAAGTTACATTTTTATTTATTTTTCAATGAGTTTTCAAACTATTGAGCAACCTCATTTTTATACCCTGAACCCATTGAAAATGGGAAATCAGGGTATAATGTTTTT